AACACCCCCAGACTTTGTGTGTTGAGTGTAAATGTTTGTAAAGGGAACATGTCACACGAGGAGTTGCTCATGCTTAGGGGTTCCATGTGATTTTGAACTGTGTACAAATGAACTGGGCCGACTGAAGGGCATGGCAGAATTGTTGGTTAAAAAGGAGGTTGAAATCAGTTCCTTAAAGGCAGCCTGGACAGGTGTGCAGAGGAAAACAGGGAGAGGAAGCTTGCCTTGACCAGAAATCAAGAGAGTCAGGGAATGGTTAAAGTGGGAGTCAAGAGAGTTGCACACAGCTTTGATTTGATGCACAAAGTTTGTAGACAAGAAAGACAACTTATATAGGGTCAGAAAAGGGCAGGAGCCAGTGCAGTGAAGAAGGGGTCACAAAGATCCTATAAAGCTACTTTGGCTCAGAAGGGTTTGTGGTTTTCTGCAGACTTGCAGTGGCATAAGAAGAAATACTCCATGCCATCTCCCAGGATGTCTGCATTTTGAGTCCACCTGTGGCTGACAACACTGACCCAGGTGATAACCTTGACACAAAACACCGTTCCTTACCTGAGGACCTTGATTTACTCCCGGAGCCAGTGGGTTTCCAAGTACATTTTTCTTAGCCCTCTCAACACTCCTACGTACAAACTCATCATATATTGGCTCTTCCACAAAAATTCTAGACCCAGCTATGCAGCATTGTCCCTGATGGTAAAACAGGCCAATGTGTGCAAATTCCACAGCACTGTCCACTGCGAAGAAAGAGACACAGAAGAGGCCAACACTGAGCATCTCAGTCAATACTGTAAATCAAAAACAGCAGTCCTTGCAACGTAATCTAACAAACTGGTTTTTCACTTGCTTAGACACCTCCCCAAACTAACATTAAAAAGCTTTGCAACACAGTGGAAGGGGACAGCTTTGAAGACAAGAAATCTAAGAGAAGCATGTCACTCACAATCAGCATCTGCAAATATGATATTGGGACTTTTCCCGCCAAGTTCCAAAGTGACTCTTTTCAGGTTGCTCTTCCCAGCAGCTTCTTTGATCATCTTGCCAACCTAAAAGAGAAGACACAACTTGAAACTGTGGTGTGTAACACCATATTTAGACTGTGGTCATTGCTTTGCAAGAGGTTCAGGCTGACCTCTCTTGTCAATTTGAGAGTGGAAAATAGACCTCCAGCTCAGTGGTTGGGCACATGCAAAATGCACCTCTAGTTAAAAATACAGTAACTGTGATATGCAGAGTAGAGAACTTTTCTCTGTCTAGGAGACGCTACTAGTCAGGCAATACCGGGCCCAATGGACAAACAGCCTGACCTGGAACAATGCAGATTCCTATGATTAACAGTGCTTTACTAATGGGATATATTACAAAATATCTGTGTTCTGCAAGCTTTGGGGGACTTCTCACACAATATATCAATAATCCTTGGGGTTCGAATGATGGCTCCTGGAAAGTCAATGGGAGTCCTGCCACCCAGATTGACTAGGCTGTGTGGAGTGTGTGAAGTGAAGGGGTTGGGTGGCATATGAGGTCAGCTATACACCTTTCTCTCACCAGCCCAAAGTGTGTGTAAGTGAGGGGGGGTGAGTTCCCGGGGAAGAAGCCTGGATTGTGAAACCCCTCTGAGAAGGTTAGCTCTGTGAGGGGAAAAGTGGCCTCCTAACAACTCTCAGCACCCTTAACAAACCAACAGATCCCAGAAGCCATGACTGTTTAAAGTGGCATGATATTGCTTTAAATGTGCAGTGCAGATGGGGCACAGCCAAGTCAATAGCAGCTTCAGTCTAAGAATATTAATATCAAGGAAAGTGTCAGGAGTGGAGCTTAACAGTTGCTTATATCAACTTTTGGGGGCTAAAATGTGGCTAAAGTGTACAGATGCATTTTTGTCAAATACCCCGCACAGTGAAAAATATCTTGGTCCCCCTCCACATTATTCTTCATTAAAAGTAGTCCTTTCTAAAATACGAAGCATGCTCACAATGAGGGAGATAAGCTACCTATTTTTGTAGAATGCAACTTTCTGTATAAAAAAGAGAGATGAAATAAAAATAAAAATGTGTATTTTTATTTTTAAACTGAAATTTGAGGGGGGAAACAAAAGACTATGCCAAAATCCAAACTTCACCCTCTCCTCAGCTTTGAAGAATCAATTTTATATCCAAAAATTCTTTTGCTTGAAGAGATATTCTTTCAATTCAAACACTATGTAGATGTGTTTGAGGTAGAGTATAACAAGCAACAAATCATTTCTGCGACATTGTTTAGGAAGCTCACAGTCAAAAAAGGTTAACATAATTACACAACCTAGGCATTAAATCACTTGTCAGAGTCTGTGTGGGTGGGTTGAGGACTTTTGTGGTGTCATTTAATCACAGGGTTGGGCAAATACCTCAGTAGAGCCGGTGAAGGCCACTTTATCTATGTCCATGTGACTGGAAATGGCTGCGCCAGCCGTGGGTCCATACCCTGGCACAATATTCACTACTCCAGGTGGAAATCCTGCCTGAATATCAGAGGGGAAAAAACACAGTTGTACCTCTCAGCCATACAGTTACTGCACCTGTGTTATTTACGATATTTCATCCCATCCGTTCTCAAAGAAACTCAAAGAAAGAGTGCACACTCCTCCTTCCCCCAACCCCCAACCTTCACAAAAACTTGTGGTAAAATGCATGCAACACTATTGTGGTGAGTGAAAAGCTAATACAGTGGTACCTCAAGTTACATACACTTCAGGTTACAGACGCTTCAGGTTACAGGCTCTGCTAACCCAGAAGTAGTACCTTGGGTTAAGAACTTTGCTTCAGGATGAGAACAGAAATCGCGTGGCGGCGGTGTGGCGGCAGCGGGAGACCCCATTAGCTAAAGTGTGGCTTCAGGTTAAGAACAGTTTCAGGTTAAGAACGGATCTCCAGAACGAATTAAGTTCTTAACCCGAGGTACCACTGTACTTGCAGAAGACGCCACCTCCCTTCCAGAGGCAGCATGAGAAGAACCTCTGTCGTTGCTCCGGCTAAGGTGGCCAACTAATTAGAGGTTTTAGGCTTGTTGTGTTATACCAACAAAAGCAGCTGAAGTTCCTTCTTGAGATGCATTATCTTTTCTTCCTAGAAGTCTAATAGCTCTCAGAATCTTCATGGGATGGGGGTAGGACAAGGCTTTGAGAACGGCATGGCTGCAATATATTCTGAACAAAAAGCTAAATTGATTGTAAATAATGTGATAACTGAGGAGCTTAAGATAGAAAAAGGAACACGACAGGGGTGCCCAATTTCCCCATTACTTTTCATTTCAGTTCTGGAGGTGTTGCTGAATATGATTAGGAATGACCAGCAGGTTAAAGGAGTGCAGGTCGGAGCTAAACATTATAAGTTAAGAGCATTTGCAGATGACCTAGTATTGACTTTGCAAGAGCCAAACACTAGTACGAAAAAGGTTCTAGAAATAATCCAACAGTTTGGCCAGGTAGCCGGATTTAAGTTGAATAAACAAAAAACCAAAGTCTTAGGAAAAAATTTAACAGATATGGAAAAGGAGAAATTCCAAGAGGGGACAGGGTTGATGGTGGTTAAGAAGGTGAAATACCTAGGGGTTTATTTGACATCTAAAAATGTGAATTTGTATAAGGATAATTATGAAAAATGTTGGTCAGAGATCAAAAAAGATCTAGAAATATGGTCAAATTTGAAATTGTCAATGTTAGGCCGAATTGCAGTGATTAAAATGAATGTATTGCCTAGAATGTTATTTTTGTTTCAGACCTTGCAGATTCTTGACAAGATGGAATGCTTTAAGAGGTGGCAGAAAGATATTTTGAAATTTGTCTGGCAGGGCAAAAAGCCCAGAATCAAATTTAAAATATTGACAGACGCTAAAGAAAGAGGGGTTTTTGCCCTGCCGGACTTAAAATTGTACTATGAGGCAGCAGCTTTTTGCTGGCTGAAAGAGTGGATGCTCCTCGAGAACACAGACATTTTGGATCTGGAAGGTTTTAACAATGTTTTCGGTTGGCATGCATATCTATGGTATGACAAAATCAAGCTGCATAGTGCCTTTAAAAATCACATTGTTAGAAAAGCATTGTTTAATGTATGGATAAGATATAAAGATCTGTTGGAAAACAAAACCCCTAGATGGGTGTCACCAGTGGAGGCTAAAGCAGTGAAGAAACTCAATATGGAGGTCGGATGGCCGAAGTATTGGGAAATCTTGGAACAGGATGGAGATAAGTGGAAATTACAAAGTTATGAGAAATTGAAACATAAAGTACAAAATTGGCTTCAATATCACCAAATAATGGAGTTTTTCAAACAGGACAGGAAAATTGGCTTTCAGGTGGAAAAATCAAAACTAGAGACTGAACTGTTAGAACCCAATACTAAGAATTTATCAAGAATGTATAACTTGTTGCTGAAATGGAATACACAGGATGAAACAGTCAAATCGGCTATGATTAAGTGGGCACAGGATGTGGGCCATAACATTATGTCAGCTGACTGGGAATGGTTATGGAACACCGGTATTAAATTCACGGCATGTAATGCCTTAAAGGAAAACATTATGAAAATGGTTTATAGGTGGTACATGACCCCAGTCAAGCTGGCAAAAATTTATCATTTGCCCGATAACAAATGTTGGAAATGTAAAGAGACTGAAGGTACCTTCTATCACCTTTGGTGGACATGCCCGAAGATTAAGGCTTTCTGGGAAATGATCTATAATGAAATGAAAAAGGTACTTAAAAGTACTTTCCTTAAAAAACCAGAGGCCTTTCTCTTGGGCATTGTCGGCCAATTGGTGTCAAAGAGGGATAGAACTTTTTTTATGTATGCCACAACAGCAGCAAGAATACTTATCGCAAAGTATTGGAAGACACAAGATCTACCCACTCTGGAAGAATGGCAGATGAAAGTGATGGACTATATGACACTGGCCGAGATGACAGGCAGAATCCGTGACCAAGGAAAAGAGACGGTGGAAGAAGAATGGAGAAAATTCAAAAGTTATCTTAAGGATTATTATAAACTTGATGAATGTTAGAGTGTTATGGTTTTCAGGAACAAAGGGATACAGTGATATAAGGTCAGATTACAGAGATAACTAAGGACAGAGGTTGGAAAGTAACAATTGGGAGTTGCTATAAAACTATGGACATTGGGATGCAGAAAGGGGGGGGTATGGGGGAGTCTCAGAAAAGAGGTTTATGAAAAACATTATGAAATTATACGTGTTTGTATGTCTTTTTAAGTGTTTGTTTGTTCTTAAAATATTGTAAAACTAATAAAAAATTTTTCAAAAAAAAAAAAAAGAAGTCTAATAGCTCTCTTTCGCAATACAACCCTGTGGGTGGGGACTGGGGCAAAGTCAAATAGCAAGTTTTGTGGCTGAGCAGGGATTTGATTCTGGGTCTCCCCACTCTTAACTCCAGCCCTCTAGCCATGACCTCATGCTGGCTGTTTAGCATGGATGTGCTTTAGATTCGGGTTGTGCTTTAGATTCTAAATTAGTTAAAACTTAAATCGGTAAATTACTGACTTATCAAATAGACAAAAGTGATAATGAATCTAAAAATTTTAACATGGAATGTAAATGGTTTGAATGAAAAAACCAAAAGGAATAAAATTGTAAATGTGTTGAAAAAGAAAAAATTGGATGTCATCTGTATGCAAGAGACGCATGTAGCCAAGAAGCATAAACATGTATTAGTAAATAAGAACTTAGGAATAGAATTTATAAACTCCACGGTAGAGAAAAAAAAAGGAGTACTAACATATGTTAATGAAAAATTAGAACCCAAATTGACCTACAAGGATGAAGAAGGAAGGATACTGGGGGTTCAAATATGCTTTGAGGGGGAAAAAATTAATGTGGTGAATATTTATGCCCCAAACTCAAATAAATCAGAGTTCTTCAAGAAATTAGAACAAGTGTTATTGGAACTAGGGAATAATAGGACGATAGTACTGGGAGATTTTAACGTAGTCCCGATACCAGAGATTGATAGACAAACAGAAAAGAAAAAAACGAAATCAAGGAAAGCTACCGAAATCATTTCAAGATCTGGAAGAAAACATGGACTTAACAGATATATGGAGACATAAACACCCAACAGAAAAGCAGTTTACCTTCTTCTCAGAGGTACATAAAAGTTGGGGCAGAATAGATCAGATTTGGACCTCGAGGGAACTCACTTTAAGAGCCACAAAATGTGAAATTCAACCGAGAACCCTCTCGGATCATAACCCGATTTTACTGGAAATAAAAGGGGCAAAACAGGGAGGCTTTAGATGGAGGCTGAACGAATATCTACTTGATAATGAGGAGGTCATTGAAAAGGCTAAAGCCACCCTAAAAGAATATTTTGATCTGAACCTTAATATAGGAACAAATATAGAAGTGGTATGGGACGCCAGTAAGGCGGTATTAAGAGGCCTTTTTATTCAGCAAAACAACTATAAGAAGAAAATAAGAGAGCAAAAGAAGGAAGAAATCCTCAGACAGCTAAGGGAGCATGAGAAAAATTTAATAGAACACCCGAAAGATGAACAAAGCATACAAACAATAAAAATATTACAAACACAATATTCGATGCTAATGAACCAAGAAATTGAATGGAAAATTAAGTCAATGAGGCAAAGATATTTCGAATCAGCAAACAAAACGGGAAAATTTTTAGCCTGGCAACTGAGAAAAAGACAAAAACAGAATCTGATAAATAAAATAATGGTAGAGGAAGAATTGATAGTAGACCCAAAAAATATACAAAAAAACTTTCTTAAATTCTATGAGGAACTATATAAGAAAGGAGTAGAAGACCCAGCCCAGATAGAAAGATACCTAGAGAGCTGCAAAGGAAAGATCGTTACAGAAGAGGAAAGACGCCAATTAAATAGACCCATAAATATTGAAGAGATTCAGAACGCGATGAAAAAAATGAAATTGGGAAAAGCACCAGGACCGGATGGCCTATCGGCTAAATATTATAAAGTTTTGGGAAACCAACTGTCACCAGCGCTCTGCGACACTATGAATAACATCTTAAGAGGAGGGAAAATACCTGAGTCCTGGAAGGAAGCTTTCATAACATTAATCCCCAAACCAGACTCAGATAAATTGAACATGAAGAATTATAGGCCAATATCCCTGTTAAATAACGACTACAAAATATATGCAGATATTATGGCAAACAGATTGAAAAAGTGTTTAACAAACCTAATCCACAAAGATCAAGCGGGTTTTCTACCAAATAGATTCTTGAAAGATAATGTGAGGCAGGTCATAAATATAATTGAACATTTGGAAATTAACAATGATATACCTGCGGCCCTGATCTTTATAGACGCGGAAAAGGCGTTTGATAACGTCTCCTGGTTGTTCCTAATAAAATCTATCGAAAAGGCAGGGATTGAGGGCGAATTTCTGAAAGGAATACAGGCAATATATTCAAACCAATTTGCCAAACTGGTTATAAACAACAACCTCACAAATACATTTAAAATTGAG